GGCGGCCGGCTGTTTTCTGGGATGTATTCCTGGCTGCACGGGCAGCGAAAATGGCCCCGCTATGGAGGATCTTCGCTGGAGGGTGAGTTTCAAGCCTATAGGAACGCATTAATCGGGTTTTAATGCATTTCTATGGGCTTTTAAAAATCGCTTTACGATGTTTTTGTTCTACAGCGATTTCGCTGGAACGAATTAACATTGTTATGCGAGGCACTACTGTATCTTCTTTTGACCTAAGATGAACTTAGGTCAAAAAAGGACAGGAAAGGTTTTTTTGTTCGTTAAGTCGAGGCTCCATTCACAAGTCGAAGCAACATTTTGCGAACGGAGCTGTTCGTAACTCGAAACATTTGCAAGTGGAAACGTTCATAAGATGAGGTAGCATTGTATTTTGTTACACTTTTTGTAATAGTCCTGACAGAAAGGCAGGTGGATATTAGAGCTGCAGTTGAGAAAGAAGGGCTTGGCTATAGTCACTCAAGTGAATTCATGGCAGAGGTGACACGTGAACATAGGACTTCCCTATACACATTTCAGTCCTTTAGCTAATACCTACCCTAGGTCTTCCATAAACCCGTTTCACTGTGTTGTTATGAAAAAAAACACCTGCCGCTTTAGACAAAGGTAGAATGATACAGTGAAAGATCTTAGTTAATAATATATAAGAAAGAATAAAATCAAAACTAAACGGTCCAGATTATTTAGTCCCCTGAGATAGACACAATATGCTAGTAAGAGGTATCAACAAATTCCTTTGGCATTCATCTGAGTACTCTTTTAAAAGACCTTCTTGCTAGGAAGGAAGAGAAAGACGAGACTTCTCAATGGCAAGTCCTTTTGTTAAAACGAGAATATACTCTAGCTTTTGTAACAGTCTTAATGAAAATCTCTCTCAGAAAAAGTTTGTTGGCTCCAAACTGCTGGTTAGCAGAGGGTTTAGTATAAGTGATATGTGAATGAAGCTGTCAAACAATCCTGTCAGCCCACAGCCTCAAGAGCTGAGCTGGGAAACTAATTCATTCCAACTCAAGTCCTTTCACAAAACTTTCTAACAAAGAGTTCAGCAAGAGCAGCCAGCATATTTGACAAGACATGCTTCCATTTTAGCACCAAGAATGTGGCCTGGACATAAGAGAAAAATATCAGCATTAATCTTGATATGTTATGAACAGTCTCTGGCATGATGTTATACATTCTGGATAAAATGGCTTGAATTAAAAAGCATTAATTGTATTGAATATCAATGCAGTTTAAAACAGGAACAGGTAATATGTAAAAGAAAGAACAGCACCCAGAAAGCTAAAATTGTCTTCAATAATCCATCTTAATTTCTATTCATTCACTCATTCACTCATTGTTACCTTCTTTCTGGACTACAACTTCCTTGTTCCCTCACCATTCACTAGGCTGCCTAGTGATAACACATGGTTTAATGATATCTGGAGGATCACATATTTCTCATCAGGGGACAACACTGAATGGCACTGTTGAAGCTCACCCATAATTCAATAAATTAGACTGTCTGCTGGATGAAAAGGATCTCTAGGTCTGGTGGTTTAATATTAATTTAGTGGGATCAAGGCTTAAAAAGTCCACCAAAGCAGTTGTGGACTCAACATAAGCTTATGGAAGATGCCAAATGAAACGCACAACGTTCAGAAGATTGAAAAGACAGAATAAGACTTGTAATCCCACATCTGTTGACCAAATTGAGGCAATTAATCTTATCTTCTTAATTTATCCAGCCTTACACTAGGAACATTTTCTTGAAAAAAACACACCATAGGAAGTCGTCCTGGTGGCAGTAATTTTCAGAAATGTATTTATTTATATCTCACCCACCCAGTGGCTAGGCCACTACTCTGTGGGGCTCACTAATTAAAGACTTCCCCCTATTGTCCCAAAGCCCCAACTGCTTCACCTTGGGAGCTTTGGGACCTGGGGATGATTAAAAATGTTTTATTTCTGAAAGATCAATATGACTGATGATATCATTAGCCTTCTGAGGCATAGCTCCACAAACAGGATTCCAGCCACTGAGTGAGATCCTACCTACTCAGTCAATTCTGACTGCAAGCAGCTCTCCAAAGTTTCACGTAGGATTCTTCCCTAGTGCTATCTATAGATACCTGGTGGTCTCCCAGTGAAATGGCTTAACACCACCTAGATTCTAAAATCAGAGAAGATCACGTGTCTTTATAAGCTTCAGAAGAAATCTATAAACTTAACCAGGCTGAAATTCTATGTGCATTTCTACAGATATAAGTATCATTTCAGGCAGACCTTTCCTGAATGTGACTGTCATTTTAAAATATTTCCAGTATCTATTTTAAAATCACATTTTAAACTGGCTTGATTTTACATGGAAGGAAAAATCCATTTTTTTGACACACACTGCATCCTTCAAGTCATCTTCTATCCTTTGAAAGGACAGCAGAGGAAGAAATACAGAAGACCAAGCTCTGTGCCTGCTACTAAATCTCAAGTGTGGATAGAATTCTGGAGTGATTTCTACACGGCCATCAACAACACCACATTTCTCAATGTGGAAAACATTGTAAGATTTCTGAGAACTACATAGCTCTGAAAATGCAAAGTTACTATTTAAAAAAACAAGCTTGTTCTCACATTTCTGCCATTTATCTTGAACTACATGCACAATGCAGGAGTATCTCTGGCAGACAATCAAGTCACAAACCTAATAAAGTTACCATTTGCAAAAACAGATGACACATGTTAGGTTCACTGCAGATGACTAAAAAATACATTTCAAACTGTTTTGTGGTTTTCAGCTATTAAAGGGGTCTTTTTTTTCCTTTGCAGGGAAATCACAGTTAGAATATGTGGACAGAAGGGACAGGCCAAAAATGACTTTTAAAACTGCTGTTAGAATGCTCCAGCATCTTCGGAGAGGGTATGGAATGGAAGTCTTGAACTGTGCTTGTCAAAAAGACAGAAAACTAGATACAAATTCAGATGTCCATAAACAAAATCTCTCTCTCTCTCTCTCTGTGTGTGTGTGTTTGTGTGTGTGTTACCGATCCAAACAAGTAATTTCAGTTGGTGGAAGCGCTCAGTACATAATTTTCAACAATTCCCTTTCCCATGAAGAAAATACACATTTTAGCAAGAAAGATGAAACCGTGACTTAACATGTCATATTCTATCTTCAACATCCCTGAATCCTTTCCTTCTCAAAATGATAAGCTCAAATATTACCAGTTATTGTGATTACCTAGCTAACATTACATGTAATAGTTTTACAAATTTATTTTAGCATAGTACTGGTGAGATTATAAAATTTCACTATGAATACAAACATGGTCTAAATGAGTAACTTAATCGCTGAAATTTTTGTTAGATTTAGTAGAGCTTTTGACTATTCTACAGAGGGCAAAAGCGTTAATGAAAGTAAGCGATTTTGAAAAACAGCAACACAAAAACACACAGACAGACAAAGAAAAAGCAATAGATGAAAATACCAGATTAGATCTTGCAGTGTAGTATATTTCTTCTGAACTGTCCAAAAAATCGTTACTGTCGGGCTGTTCATCAGACAAAGACCAGAAACTCAAGTTAATTACTTATAGACTGAAATACATCTAAGTACATAGGGATATTTTTGTACAATATTTGGTTGTGCCATTACCACTTGTTAGACATTTCTGAAAGTACACAATATAGCAACTAGATTCATATAGTCTTAAACAAGGAGAGATGACTGAAGAACAATATGTGAAGGCAAATAAAAAATGCATGCTTATATGTATGTTCAATACTTATTTCTTTAAAGCTCCCTTCCTTCTTACCCTTCATACTGACAGTAAATGGAAATTTTGACACCCTTCCCTGAAAAGGCAAGGTATATATTTCCCTCCATTATATTTTATATATTAACAAGACCTAAAATACAGTCAGCTGTATCATCTTGGGTATTACTTATCTGCAAACTCCAATCTGAAAAAATAATAAATTTGGAAAAAAGCTAACGAATTTGTTGCCATTAAAAACCATCTTTATTTAACTTGTTGTTATAAGAAAATGGAAATTTTTTTTTGGTCAAGACCTACACAAGACTGTTCGAAGTATTATTTTCCAGGTATCTTCTATATACAATTCCAGATAAAAACTGCATAAGTGTAAATCCTTAAAAGTTAAGACGACTTTCATACTATGGTTTGCGTTTTATGTCTGAAATAATGAAGCAAACCAACTTCACAATGGGAAGGCTGTTTATTTTAATGCAAGTTGGTTCCAAGAACGTTTCCCATTGGGTTAGATCCAGTTCTCCAGCACTACTAAGAAGCAGGTATTGGGACAAGTGCTAAAAACAGGAATTATGTCTTTCTAGTAAGCTGTGGCCAGGATTTAGAAATCTGCTAATCCTTGGAGAAAGGGGGACAATGCAGCAAAACTTGTATTTAACAAAACAAAAACACCTTTCAGAGTGTAGTATAATCAACTGCAAACAGAAAGGGGAAAATAATGCATCCATTATGCTAGTACAGGGCTCTTAGTAAGCCTAAGCAGTGTATTTCAGCTATTGGCTGAAATCCTGCTGTGCAGGTCCATGTGAACAGTGGGGATGATGTTATCACCAGCATTACATTGCTGCTGATAAAGGGCAAGTTCAGGGACCATGTAGCTCATATACAATGCAATGAAGGTGTGTGCACCCTAAAACTGCAAAAAGAAGGATTTATTCAATGATGACGTGCTGCCGGCGCCATTATCCAGCTGCGCATTCTGAACAATGCAACAGGATTTCAGCTAACGTTTTAGGTGTTCAACTGTGTTCATATCCAATGCACGAAGAATACAAGATACTGACCATAGGTACACAACAGCTTGCATAAGAGCTTTTACCAATAAACGTGAGAGAAGTAAACATAACTGCACTTTAAGGCTAGGCAAAACCAGTAACTAGAACAATTAGGTTAAGTAACTCATGATAATTAATTAAGTAGTACAGCAAAAGCAACAAACATGCTTAAGGTTTCTATGCTAGATTCTAGTTCTACTGAATAAAGTGGGATCCTGTTCTAAGCAAACCGGCACTGGACTGAATAACCAAATAAATCACTGGTCTTTTAGCTATGTATGTGTGGGCTTAAACTGGCTCCTCAGAATAATCTAGTAAGATCTCAAGACACTCAAATTTAACTTCAGCTTCACCATCCACCTCAAGAACTTAAATAATAGCCCAAAGCTCCTTGCATAGTTAGGAGGATTTTGGCCATTAATCCAGAAACCAAACCAGAAATACAGATTTGAAATCAACTGGTAATAAAACAATAATGAAATGCTGAGTGTGTCCATGCCAGTCTCAGGAAAAAGAATTTGCAATGGAAAAGCAGTGGAACTGATGAACTGGCTTTACAAGAGCTACTAATATATGAAGGCTTTCAAACGTAGGAATGGAGGAGCAGCGTACAAGAGGACTTTCTAGATGCGTGTACAAAATAAGTCATGGTTCCCCAATGTGTATGCACCAAGTGAACAAAGAGATGAAAATCCTGCATGACACTGAGAGCCTGGGGGCCGATCTGAGAAAAACTCTACCACTGCACCGTCTATTCCCAGGGGGAAAAAAGAGTAAGAGTGAAGCAAGAGGAATGGAGACTGAAGAAAGAAGGGGATGACAGGAGACCTCTCGAGAAAAGGAGGAGAAAGATCAGGGGACAGGTGGAAAAGATAGACAGTTACAAGAGGTGGGAAAAAGAGAGACAGGGATTGGTGGGGGGGGGGAGAGAGAGCGAGAGAGCGAGAGAGAGAGAGATGTCATACAAAATAAAGGAGACACAGACTTTTAGAACCTGACTTAACATGTACAAGGCAAAAGGTGAGCTTCTTACTACAGCTCATTGTCAATATAAGGCACGAACATCCATTCTATTATAAAAAGTATTCTCTAGAAGTATTAATCTATTACTTCTGCCCAGTTATCATCTGAAGTTATAAACATGGAACCAGAAAAAACATCATTGATGCATTTGGGCATAAAGTTCTAAGAAAAAGTGGACTAGTTACCAGTTCAGATAAAGGCATGCTTGTCAACGAAAAATAATTTTTACAAGATTTCTACCATCCACTAGTTCTGATACACAATTAAGGATATGCAAATATATTAAAACAAACCTGATAGATTCAGAATAGTGCTTTGTTCTAAGATGTGCTGAAATCCTCAATGGCTGAAACATTATGCAGAGGTAGTGATTTACTGACATAGCTACCCAGAGACTTTAAAATGTCTGTTGTTGACTTACTGGTTTTAACAGTATTTTAAACGGACATTTGCTCCTTAAAGATGAACAATACATGGAGATGAACTAAATAAGATATTCTGTTATCTTTCTGCTGCAAAGAAGTATTTGCACATCTCTGTACTGAGAGCTAAGTAAGCAGCAGTATGTTTTAAAAAGGGAGGCAAACACTCACTCAGCATGGCAATATCATACCATGATTGAGGAAAGTGTAATGATACTGCCAACAACACCTCACTGCTCATGTGCTGATCAAGAGTTCTCTACAGTTTCCATCTTGCATTATGAAAAGTCTGTCTGTCGTAAGTGCTAGAAAAATTCTTTTTCCTTATTTTTCTGTCCGTGAAAGAATTGAAGACTTTGGGGTAGGGGGAATGAAGTATATGCAATATTTTCATACCAACCTATTGTTTTAGCAACATAAAGCTGCTTCCTTTATAACTTAGCTAGCATATTTATTTATTTATTTATTTATTTAT